TGTGGATAAATTGGAAAATATCCAGCAGAGGGCAACAAAAATGATTAGGGGACTAGAACACATAACTTATGAGGAGAGGCTGAGGGAACTGGGATTGTTTAGTCTGTGGAAGAGAAGAATGAGGGGGGATTTGATAGCTGCTTTCAACTACCTGAAAGGGGGTTCCAAAGAGGATGGATCTAGACTGTTCTCAGTGGTAGCAGATGACAGAACAAGGAGTAATGGTCTCAAGTTGCAGTGGGGGAGGTTTAGGTTGGATATTAGGAAAAATATTTTCACTAGGAGGGTGGTGAAGCACTGGAATAGGCTACCTAGGGAGGTGGTGGAATCTCCTTCCTTAGAAGTTTTTAAGGTCAGGCTTGACAAAGCCCTGGCTGGGATGATTTAGTTGGGGATTGGTCCTGCTTTGACCAGGAGGTTGGACTAGATGACCTCCTGAGGTCCCTTCCAACCCTGATATTCTATGATTCTATAGAGATCAATTAATTTTCATTAGACGTCCCTCTTTAAAGCAACCCTCCTCCTACTGACACTTTTCAAGTCTATGGAGTCAGCCCTGCAACACAGCATGAATCTACCTCTATTCAGACACTTTGCTGAATTAGTTTTATAATAATCGAGATGTGAAATTAAAAATTCATGACTTACTCTTCAATAGTTTCCCAGAATTATCCAGATCCAAACTCTAATCTGTTCAGTCTGTAAAGTGGTCTTCTCACTCACACAAATCATCATCCTCAAAGGCCACCACTGATGTCCCATCCACAAACCCCTTCTAACTACCTCTAAAACTTTGTCGCTCCCCCATGTCCACTTGAGCCTTTTTTGTGCCAATTCTGGCTTCCTTTCTGCCATGAGAGGTGAATTCTTCACTTCTGTTCTTTGAAACAGTTTTCCAGTTTCTATCATTCCCCTTCTGTCTCTTAACATCCCCCAATCTGATAAAACCCCAGGCACAAATTCTATGCTGTCTAGCTGTTCATCATGTCCCACATCAGCCCATTTCCTGTCTCTATTTACCTTCACACCATCTTATTGGGACACTTCCACTGATAACTACAGTAATATATACTGAGATACTCATCTGAACAATACATTACTAAACTGTATTGAAACCCAACCTATGGATGCTGCTCCTTTTGAAGATAGGCAGTGCTGATCATTACATCATCTGGGATACTAATGGGAATTACAGGAAGTACTCCTTTCTAGACATGGAGCATGTTACCACCAAATATGTGCAGCCTACGCTCCTCCAGAAACAAAACTAACTGGAGACCCAAATATAAATCTGGCTCAATACACTCAAGTGTTGATGTAGATTTCTTTATATCAACAGAGCTAGAAAAGCATGTGTCAATTATTTTCTTTAACAAACATTTATAGTTCAAGAACACCCATAAATCCAACTATCACTCCATGAACCCTTAAAGTGTAATTCTGTAAACAAGATGTCATGGATCTCTTAGCTTACTGACATTCACTAATTTGTCAAATGTGCTTAATGTACAAATAAGCAGATTTTCCCCCTAATGCCTGTGTTTTTACATCACACCCACCACCATTGTATCTAAATGCCTTACTTCTCAGCATCACAAACTCACCTTGGGAACTGATAGTCAATCCATGCCCTTTTTGTCTTTGTACATAATCAGCTGAAGGCTAACTTATTAAAGACACCTGCATAGCCCCACTGAAATGCCATTGCTTTCAGTATGTTTGCAAAGGTAGAAATTACTGGACCTGTAACTAGAGTGCAGTACATAACTGTGCTGATGGTACATGAGAAGGACTAGAAGTCCATGTCTTACAGCTATCCTGACTCTGCAGTGCTCCTAAGAGTAATAAATAGTATACAAAATTGTCAAACTTCTTCATAGCAGGGACTGCCTTTATCCTGTGTTTTATGAAGCACCAAAAAAAAATAAAAAAAAATAAAAAAATATCAGTGCCAAATAATAAATACTAATAAAGGCTCAAATCCTGCAAACACTTATGCACATTTGATTACTCATTCTGAAGATCATGGGACTACCCAGGTATACAGAGCTGTTCACATGCATAAGTGCTTGTAGGATCAAAAGCAGATATGACTGAATATACAGGAAGAGGTCTGTTGAGTAAGATGGTGTCATTTTACACAGTCACTTTTCAGCATAGAAGTAGAACTCTAGCTTACAGTGTCACAATTTAAAGTCTGTGAATTTATGCCTCAAAAATGTACACTTCATTCACAATTTAAGAATGCATACAACTGATGTGAATCATTGTCCTAAAATTACTACTGCCAACTTAATTACTACACAAATATATTGTACTAACCCATACACATGGGCTTCTGTTCCAAACTCTTTCAAACTGCTGATCTGCCATTCCAAAATAATTGAACAACCACTCCCTCAGACACAGATATTGCAAACCTTTAAATAACTCACTATGTAACTCTAAGAGGACTATAAATTAAAAGTTCTGTATTAAGCACTCATGCATCAGTCAAACTCAATGTCCATTTCTGCCTGTGTTCCAGGACCAGTGCTAATAATCTTGTCAAATGAGGAAATGGAGCTGTTAAAATTTCTGTCTTTTGCTTTTTTAAAAAGCCAAATAAAATAAAGAATAAGGCAAAATAATAACTCAGTGTGTGAGCAACAGCCAAACCATTTGTTTGCAAAGTCAGTGTAGTAAAGAAGTTTCAAATCAAAGCAAATGCCCTGAATCTGTACAAAAAGGAGGGCATTCATGGGGGGGGGGGAATAAGGAGGGGAGGAGAGTGTGTGTGTACATACCTACCTACAGATACATCCTAGCTCTTGACAACCAGAAGAGGTTGAAGTTGTCTCATGCTGGTCACCAAAAAATTAAACACCAATATCAATAGCCACTTTAGAAGATGTTGGCTCAAGTAGCCAATGGTGTTCACATGCTGTGCTGAGATAATTTCTCAGCTTTATAAAGGAGCATATTGATTGGTAGGGCTCTACCAAATTCACAGCCATGAAAAACATATCACTGACTGAAATCTGGTGTGTCCCCCCTGACATCTGGTCTTTTGAGTGCTTTTACCCAATATTATGCAGATTCCATGGAGGAAACATTGGGGGGTCCTGACCCAAAAAGGAGTTGCAGGAGGGTGGGGGTGAAAGGTTATTTTGGGGGTGGGGGAGCGTGTTATTGCCATCCTTACTTCTGCACTGCCTTCAGTGTTGGGCATCTGGAGAGCAGCAGTTGTTGGCCAAGTGCCCAGCTCTGCAGGCAGCAGTGCAGAAGCAAGGGTGGCAATAACATACCACGCCATGCCAGGCCATCTTTACTTCTGCACTGCTGCTGGCAGTTGCTCTGCCTTCAGAGCCAGCAGCAGTGCAGAAGTAAGGGTAGCAGTACTGCAACCTCCTACAATAGCCTTGCCACCACCACCCCCACAACTCCTTTTGGGGTCAGGACCCCTACAATTACAGCACCCTGACATTTCACATATAAATATCTGAAATCAAGACATTTACAATTTTTTAAATCCTATGACCATGAAATTGACCAAAATGGACCTTGAATTTGGTAGGGCCCTACATATTGGGCTTTACTCTGATTAATCTTCTATTAAACTTATTTTGCAGATTTTTCATTGATCTGAAGATGACTTCAGAATTTAAATCATGCTAAAATAAAAGATAAGAACATAAGAACGGCCACACTGGGTCAGACCAATGGTCCATCTAGCCCAGTAGCCTGCCTTCCCACAGCAGCCAATGCCAGGGAAGATGGTTGGATGGAATAAATCCTCAACTCCCTGATCTAGGTATAAAACGATCAGAAGCATCACATGAAACACAGAAAACAGGAAGGAATCGGTGGCCAAAGGCATTTAAGTATCACATTATATATGCACCTCTTCAGTACTCGCTGGTGAGGGACATCGGCTGATTCGGACATAGTCCTAGCCTCAGATGAGAGCACTGGGAATAAACGTTCCCAAGACAGAACAGTTTTACCAGCTTCATGGTGCGGTGCTTATGTTACAACCACGGAGAAATGCTCCGGATTGTTCTACTCTGAAGAATAATGTAAAGAGCTAAGACAAGAGACTAGATAGAAAAGCCTCTTTCTTACCTTGTCCAACCCAAAAACGGAACAAAACCACTTCCGAGGCTAATTTTGCACATTAATTGTATCCAACGCAGACCGATGCGTGCTCCTTCCCAAGCGCCGGCCGAACCAGACGGGCGCAGAGCGCGCCAGCCGCTGGAGCCAGGGTCGGGAGGAGCGGGAGGGGGATCCCAGCTCCAGAAGGGGGAGCCGCACAGCGCGGGGCCATCGGCCACCTGACGTGCAGGTTGGGCACCGGAACATTTCGTGCCTGCGCCACGCCAGCGGGGACATTCCGTTCCCATCGCTCACTGCACGCGGACACGCGCCCCCCCCGGTGTCTCCGAGCTCCCCAGGGGGCCAGGCTGCCCCCGCGGAGCGGCTCGACGCAGCACCCGAAGCAGAGAACCGGGACAAAGGAGTGGCGAGGGGATGCGCCTCCAGCTGGCGATCGTCCCCCGGCCCCTCCTGCTGCGCAGAGATGCCAGCCGCCCCCGGTTCAGCTCGCGGGAGGGAGGGAGGCTTTTTCGAACAGACTGGTCGAGTCCTGCCAATTAACAGGCTCCGCTCCACAGCCCCCGCGCCCCTTCCCGGGCGCAGCTGTCCAGGAGCGCCGAGGGAAAGGGGATGCGCGGGGCGCTCCCAGCCCGGACCCTACCGGCCTCATGACCTCGCCCAGGCTAAGCCGGAGACCCCAACACACTGGGCTCTGGCCCGCGTCGGCCCGGATCTCTCCCCGGTTCTAGAGCGTCTGATTTCCTCTGCGCCCCCCGCGCCGGCTGCAGCGCCAGGATCCCTCCTGGGAAGGCTCCCACCCGCGCGGGGGCTCGGGGAAGCCGCCGCCGCCTGCGCGCCGGAGCGGGCAGTCAGCGCCTCAGCATCCCGAGCGGCTGCGCCCCGGCTCCCTGGGATTCACCTACCTGGGACGAGCCTGCGCTGGTCTCAATCCCGGTTCCGAGACCGACCCGACCCGCTGGCTTCGTCTCGGCTTCCGGGCCGATTTAACGCCTCTTACTCAGCAGCAGCAGCGGGCGGCAGCCGCTAGATTCCGACCAACGTCAGAGCAGCCGGGTCCAGACACCTGACGGGTCCTAGCGCCTCCCACCGCCTGGTTAATTCAGAGCCAAACCAGCCCCCAACCTGGGCCCACCCAGGCCACAGCCAGATTGGCCATAACCATCATCATAGCATCCACGGCTACAGATTCGGGGCCACCAGGGCCACCTAACCAGAACCATCCGGCTCAAGGCCAGAACGCGAAGGTCTGGGTACAAGCGGGTCCAGAGCCTTAGGACCTAATACCCTGAACACCCGTGTAGAAGTCAAAGTCCTAAACTCTCCGGGTTTCTGGGCACTGGCTCCCACCTCATCCTAACACAATTTCCAAGCTCCAGGGACACACCGCTTTGGGTAGCTGGGACTCCTGAGTTCTCAGACTGCCTCTGACACTTACCTATTTGCTGTGGGTCTGAGCATATCACTTACCCTAACATGAGGATTAGGAAGCTAGGCAGTAGATCTTCGCATTAAAGGGACCTTAGATACCTAGAGTTATTATTTCAGTGTCTCATTATATCAAAACTATCCAGGCTCTGTCACACCCAAACTGGCTGCATTAGTCAGTGTGGGGATCATTATACACTCAAAACAGGTGATTCTGATCCATAGAATCATAGAATCATAGAATATCAGGGTTGGAAGGGACCCCAGAAGGTCATCTAGTCCAACCCCCTGCTTGAAGCAGGACCAATTCCCAGTTAAATCATCCCAGCCAGGGCTTTGTCAAGCCTGACCTTAAAAACCTCTAAGGAAGGAGATTCTACCACCTCCCTAGGTAACGCATTCCAGTGTTTCACCACCCTCTTAGTGAAAAAGATTTTCCTATTATCCAATCTAAACCTCCCCCACTGCAACTTGAGACCATTACTCCTCGTTCTGTCATCTGCTACCATTGAGAACAGTCTAGAGCCATCTTCTTTGGAACCCCCTTTCAGGTAGTTGAAAGCAGCTATCAAATCCCCCCTCATTCTTCTCTTCTGCAGGCTAAACAATCCCAGCTCCCTCAGCCTCTCCTCATAAGTCATGTGTTCCAGACCCCTAATCATTTTTGTTGCCCTTCGCTGGACTCTCTCCAATTTATCCACATCCTTCTTGTAGTGTGGGGCCCAAAACTGGACACAGTACTCCAGATGAGGCCTCACCAATGTCGAATAGAGGGGAACGATCACGTCCCTCAATCTGCTCGCTATGCCCCTACTTCTACATCCCAAAATGCCATTGGCCTTCTTGGCAACAAGGGCACACTGCTGACTCATATCCAGCTTCTCGTCCACTGTCACCCCTAGGTCCTTTTCCGCAGAACTGCTGCCTAGCCATTCGGTCCCTAGTCTGTAGCTGTGCATTGGGTTCTTCCGTCCTAAGTGCAGGACCCTGCACTTATCCTTATTGAACCTCATCAGATTTCTTTTGGCCCAATCCTCCAATTTGTCTAGGTCCTTCTGTATCCTATCCCTCCCCTCCAGTGTATCTACCACTCCTCCCAGTTTAGTATCATCCGCAAATTTGCTGAGAGTGCAATCCACACCATCCTTCAGATCATTTATGAAGATATTGAACAAAACCGGCCCCAGGACCGACCCTTGGGGCACTCCACTTGATACCAGCTGCCAACTAGACATGGAGCCATTGATCACTACCCGTTGAGCCCGACAATCTAGCCAGCTTTCTACCCACCTTATAGTGCATTCATCCAGCCCATACTTCCTTAACTTGCTGACAAGAATACTGTGGGAGACCGTGTCAAAAGCTTTGCTAAAGTCAAGAAACAATACATCCACTGCTTTCCCTTCATCCACAGAACCAGTAATCTCATCATAAAAGGCGATTAGATTAGTCAGGCATGACCTTCCCTTGGTGAATCCATGCTGGCTGTTCCTGATCACTTTCCTCTCATGCAAGTGCTTCAGGATTGATTCTTTGAGGACCTGCTCCATGATTTTTCCAGGGACTGAGGTGAGGCTGACTGGCCTGTAGTTCCCAGGATCCTCCTCCTTCCTTTTTTTAAAGATTGGCACTACATTAGCCTTTTTCCAGTCATCCAGTTAATTCTCCCTGGTTTAGCTGTTAATTCTGAGTGGTGAGCTCTGCATTTCAGGAGCCCTGTTACCAAGGTTAATGCGGGGTGGGGGGGGCAGGTGTGCTGGATATCAGAAATAAAACAAGAGTATTTTAAGGGCTGGGAGATCAATATGTTGAGCAAAAGTCAGAACTCATGAGCAGTTGCATGGTCAGCTGTATCAAAATTCAAGATTCTAGCTCTAATCTGACCAATTAAAGCATTTTTTTAATTAATTATTTTTAGGACACAGGCAAGGTGAAATTTAATGGGGTTGGTAACACTGTATCTTTTATCTGTGACCCCTCTCCCCACCCAAGCTGCAGTCTTCTCTGGAGCTGTTCAGAATTCACCTTTCTCCCTGGAATATCTGTTGACAGACCCTTTCCTATGCAAGCCTATTTTATTCTTAAGGTAAAATAACTACAGAGAAAACATATTAAAAAATAAAAAAACCTACATGCATGATAATATGCTTACCAGAGATCACCCCAAGCCTAACATGGGCTCTGGCAGGAACAGTCCTTCAAAACTCTACCCAAGGGGTTCTTTGTAGTTTCAGGTTAATCACAGCTTCAGCTGAGAACAAGCCCATAGTTTTACAGGGCCTCAGTAGGCCTAGTCCGTCTAACCCTTCCCTAAGGACTTGGGCCCTGCATGGACCACAAGTCCTGTCCTTTTGCTGGATCACAAACATAAGAACATAAGAATGGCTATATTGGGTCAGACCAAAGGTCCATCCAGCCCAGTATCCTGTCTGCTGACAGTGGCTAATGCCAGGTGCCCCAGAGGGAGTGAACTTAACAGGTAATGATCTAGTGATCTCTTTCCTGCCATCCATCTCCACCCTCTGACAAACAGAAGCTAGGGACACCATTCCTTACCTATCCTGGCTAATAGCCATTCATGGACTTAACCTCTATGAATTTATCTAGTTCTCTTTTAAACCCTGTTATAGTCCGAGCCTTCACAACCTCCTCAGGCAAAAAAAGGCCCTGACCCTGTTTGAAACTAAAAATCCTTTATTTGTCTGCTGTTCCCTGCATAATTCAGTCTGAAATTGTATATGTGCCCCTCTCCAGGGGGCAGTTTCAAATTGCTGCTAACTGAAGGACTTTGTGACTGGAGGACTTATAAGAAGTGGAAACTTGGACAGATGACTAGGGAGGAGTATAAAAATATTGCTCAAGCATGAAGGGGTGTAATCAGGAAGGTGAAAACAACTGGAGTTGCAGCTAGCAAGGGATGTGAAGGGTAACAAGAAGCGTTTCTACAGGTATGTTAGCAACAAGAAAAAGGTCAGGGAAAGGGTGGGACCCTTAATGAATGGGGGAGGCAACCTAGTCACAGATGATGTGGAAAAAACTGAAGTACTCAATGCTTTTTTTGCCTCAGTCTTCACAGACAAGGTCAGCTCCCACACTGCTGTCCTGGGCAACAAAGTATGGGGAGGAGGTGAGCAGCCTTCAGTGGTGAAAAAAACAGATTAAGGACTATTTAGAAAAGTTGGACATGCACAAGTCCATGGATCCAGATCTAATGCATCTGAGGGTGCGGAGAGAATTGGCTGATGTTATTGCAGAGCCATTCGCCATTATCTTTGAAAACTCATGGCAATCAGGGAGGTCCCGGACAACTGGAAAAAGACAAATATAATGCCCATCTTTAAAAAAGGGAAGAATGAGAACCCAGGGAACTATAGACCGGTCAGCCTCACCTCAGTCCCTGGAAAAATCATGGAGAAGGTCCTCAAGGAAACCATTTTGAAGCACTTGGAGGAGAGTCATGTGATCAGGAACAGTCAACATGGATTCCCCAAGGGCAAGTCATGCCTGACCAACCTGATTGCCTTCTACAATGAGATAACTGGCTCTGTGGATGTGGGGAAAGCAATGGATGTGATATATCTTGACTTTAGCAAAGCTTTTGATACAGTCTCCCACAGTATTCTTGCCAGCAAGTTAAAAAAGTATGGATTGGATGAATAGACTATAAGGTGGATAGAAAGCTGGCTAGATTGTTGGGCTCAGTAGGTAGTGATGCATAGGTGCTGACTTCTCCTTTTTCTGATGGGTGTTCGACCCCCTGCTCTATCTTTTGTCATTAATAAACTTGTTTTTGCTTTATCTAAACCAGTGATGATTTAGTGATGGGATGATTTAGTTGGGGATTGGTTCTGCTTTGAGCAGGGGGGTGGACTAGATGACCTCATGAGGTCCCTTCCAACCCTGATATTCTATGATTCAGTGTGTTGGAGTGAAGTGTATGGGAATCATAATTCAGGGGGAGAAAGCTGTTGCATATTTCTCTCCACATTGAGGGAGGGGGTGAACTTTATGAGCTTATGCTGTACAGTTCCCAGTGCAGCGCAAGACAGTATAATTTGCGGTTTATACTCCAGAGGGATTGTGTGCCTGGGCAGCTGGGAGTTGCCTTGGCTGTAGCCTTCCTTTGCAGGGGTTGTTCAGAGAGCCCGCATGTAATTGCAGCTGGGTGTGTCCCTACCTGTATGACTGCCGGTGAAAGTGCAGCTGGAGGGCTTTGCAGCTTGTCACAGCAGTTCAGTGTGAAAGGGAGCCCAGGCTAGTGGGTCAGGGAGCTGAGTGGCACCCCCGTTCCAGGTGACACCCCGGGGGGAACCCATCACAGACTTACTTTAGAATCTTTGAATTTGATTCATTATTCAATAGGGAGCCAGTGTAGCCAGCGGAACACTGGAGCACTGAATTTACAGAAGCCTCTTTCCTGTGCTTGATCCTATGTTGCTTCCCTTAAAAAAGACAGAATGGGAGGTAGGGAAAGGGTGATTATTTTCAATTCAGGACAGCAAGGATAACTACAAGCATGAGAATGATCTGCTTACCTGGATTTTCAGAGAAAAGTCTTGGGCAGTCAGAAAGAAGAAGAGGCTTATAGGAGGAGGTGGCTGCAATTGGGACAGATCTTCAGTCCTGCAGAA